TGGGGCTGTTATTACCTAGGATAGTTTAGTTTCTGAGCCAGTACGTCCTATGTCAGTCAATGGCTTCGCTCGCGTCAAGACTGGAATCTAGGGTCCAGGACGGGCGTGGCAACTTTGGCTGACTTAATCTGATTGGGCAGGAATACAGTCTACTACCCATGGGTGGATCCTCCATCTCCGTGCTGAGAAAAGGCGTTCAAGTAAGACAACGCCCCTTTTCTTGCCATAAACCTTAAGCCAAAAGATAGCGCTTACAGGTAGTCCTTGACTTACAAGTGATTACTTAATGATTATTCAAAATTACAACAGATCCCCAAGGTTATGCATGCATGCATGTATGTATGTATGTATGTATGTATGTATGATGTATGCATGTATGTATTTCCAAAGGTCTCACAGCCACCATCTCCTGATCACATGACCCATTTCAGAAACTCGGTAATCGGCCTTCATTTACTGCTGATTGCAGTAACTGCCATTTGACATTTTTTGCTGAAAACTGGTGTTTACTTCTGAGTTTTATTAAAAACACCCCCCAATGAACTATGGATTGGCTTACCATGGATGGCATATTTATCTATCTATCTGTCTGTCTGTCTGTCTGTCCGTCCATCCCTAATATATATATATATCATTTCTAGGCTGTCCATCTCTCTCAGGGATTTATAATTTAATTTAAACATAAAATGTTAGCCTTGGTTAAAATCACACTCCAAGTTCTAATACAGTAGAAGAGCTACAAGACTTTGTTTTTAAAACTAGTTTTTAAAACTATTTTCAAATTATGTATTTCCAATCTATGCACTGAAACAATTATATGCATTAAACAAGGTTTGCTAATGAGCAAAAATGACACTGAGTGCACTATTTAAAATCTCCACTTTCCAATGCTGGATTTCCAGCACTTGCAGAATAAGAGTTTTCAACTATGGATATGTACAATTCCTAGAAATCGTTAGCTTTGTTTAATATACTGTTTATTCAAGAACACTGTACTTACCTCACAGCGGTAACATTCTATGTGATAATCCTTGTCCATTGACACCACACGGATAGTCTCATCAGATCCCTGTAAAAGTTTATTTGTTTAAAGGAGAAATCACATTGTTCTAATTCTTATGAAATGTTCTTTTGGCAAAAGTAAAACATGAACTAGTATATTTATTGCTATTGTTATATACATCAAATATGTTTTCAAAATACTATAATTAAATTTCAAAGTTATGTCAGTGGCTCCTAAGGAGACAAATAGCAAATTCTTCACTATACTGTTTAAATAAGAGATAACATTTAATATGAACAGCACTTAAGCATTTTGGGTTACCTACCTAAGTTCTCTTTCATTTATATCAAGTAATAAATGTTAATTAGCTGCTGAGTGAGCTTTTAGGAATTAACTCATGTTAATGAAATCATTTGTATACCATTAAAAGCCTTTTATGAGTCTTATTCATAAAACCAAAGGGCACCAACTCTGATTTATCCCACTTTACAAAATCACACAATGTATTCATTTTGCCTTAAAAAAATATAATTGTAGTTGAAATTTGTGGTATATTAATCTTATGTAAAGCATTATGCAAATACAGAAGAGTTTTTTTATTATATCTCAACCACTACAATACATCTTAATATTATCAAACAGTTTAGCACATCAAGCATGGTGCTCTGAAACCAAACGAAAAGAAAAAGAAACTAAACAGGAAAGAAACTCTTGCCATGCCCCATAAGATAAATCATGTGTAAGGATCTCATGGAAAATTAAAAAAAATCTCAAATTCAAAATTTCAAAAAGATGAAAACATTCTTCCCACATTTATCCCCCTGTAAATCACATAAAACCTTTTTCCAGCTTCTTAAAAGATAAAAGCAGCTGGATATTGCCTCTTACGAGAACGTATAAAGTTGAACATTATCAGATTTTTTACAACCCTATATAAACAACCACAATGAATACAAGCTGAACACGATGTGCAAATTCTTAGTTATCATCAATTTTTAAGTCTACCGAAGGACTTAAATGGCGTTTCATATTTGCATTTATCAAAATGGTAGAATACAGTAAGAGGCACTTTCCAAACTTGGGGGGGAAATCATCATATGAAATTGCAATATAAAAAAGAGATGGATTTATTTAAAAGCACTGCAACCAAAAATAATATAAAGAAATATTATTACTTACTTCAGTTGGCAAAATAGGAAGGCCACAAGCTGCACATTTTGGCGCCAAAACTCTTCACAAAAAAAACAACACAATTTTTTAAAAATGAAAGATAATCTAAGATTCTATCAGTTTTTAAATTGTTTCAGTTGATTTTTTTAAATGTTGTTTTTGATGGCATTCTATATTAATTCTCAAGTTTTCTTCTAAAATGCAACCTGATCCAATTCCTCCATGCCAGACAACAACTAAGGATCCCATTTCTGCATATCCCTCTACACAAAATAAAGGCATTTGCAAGAAAAAATGTGTTAATCTGTTTTTACTTTTTAAAAAACTTGAGAGGAGCATTCAAAAATAACAGAAGGTAATAGCAACTTAAATGGTATCGATCATAATAATACTTCAGTATTCTTCTACCTTATTCTGCTGAAATTGTAGAAGTCTACAAATCTAGAGAATCAGACAAATGTAGAGTCTAAAGTGGGTGTTCTACTAAAGATATCAGGAAATAAGTGTAATTCTCATTGGCTATGCTGGCTATGGCTAAAGAATGTTGAGGACTGACATTGCCTATTGAGCCACAGTTTTATTACTCCGGTCTTAACAATGGAAATAAATAGGGCAAAATTCTTCACTTTTCTATTATTTAATTGTACATTCCTAAGACTGTCTCTCTGAATTTGTTTTCATTTTTTGTTTTGTTTTCAAGGCATCAAAGTACTTTAGATTTATTTATTTATCAATTTATATAGCCGCCCATATCAACAAATGATGCTGGGCATCAAACAGAGTTAAAATAAAATAAAAAAATCATAAACATTATAAATACACAGCAATCAAGCAGCACCAACACAAAGAAAGCACTGGCATAATCAAGAAGCAGGTCCCTGCAAACTCTCAGGAGTTCCAGGCCCTGGGACAGAATCTGACTTTTAGAGCCTTACGAAATGCCAACAGGGTTAGGAGACAACCTGATCTACAGAGATAAAATGTTCCCAAGCCTGGGAGCTATGGGGGGGGGGGAGGGAATTGTCTTCTAGGTCCCACCAACCAATGTTCTTTGAATTCATCAGAACATCTGCTACAACAGTGACGGCGAACCTTTTAGAGACCGAATGCCCAAACTGCAACCGAAAACCCACTTATGCATCGTCAGGTGCTGGGTGGGTGTGGCCCATTGGCTGGGTGTGGCCCATTGGGTGGGCGTGGCTGCGATGGTAACGGCAGACTGGGTGGGACTAAAAAGTTCAATCCTAACTTTGCAAGATCTTTTTCTGCAAGAAGTTGAAATTGACTGATTGATTGAACCTTTTTTTTTGGTACACGGCAGCAGAGGCCTAAAGCGAAAAGGTTTTATAAAACCCAGCTGAAGGCCTAGGATTGGGGCGACGGCGTGTGTGCCCAAAGAGAGGGCTCTGAGTGCTGCCTCTGGCACCCGTGCCATAGGTTCGCCACCACTGTGCTACAACATAGCCATAAATTAGAAACAACTTATATATTACTGTTCAATCCCTGGTCCTCTCTTACTTATATTAGGATAACGTACCATTTGTATTCATGCTGGTTGCTTTACTTCAATAGAATTTCTCCATGTATGAAATTGCAATAAATACTTATATTTGTATTTTACACTCTTTTATTTCTGACATTTCCTCACGTTCTAATGTCTTTCCTTTGCCTTGTTTTAAAATGCAACAATTTTAGGGCAGAGATCCAATATATGTCAAAGATACTTAATAAATAATAAAAATGCTTGATAATTCTATTGGCTATTTTTAATTAGATCTGCTTCTAACATTGAATTTCAACTATGAAAAGAAAATAATTATATGTAATAACATGTCATTTAAATGTGATAAAAACGGGGCCTTGTTCACTTTCTAGTGAACTTGTAGTAGTGAAAAGATAGTAATGATACTTATTTCTAGAGAAAGAACATGATGAAAATGTACGTCCGTGGTATTTTGACAAATTTCCCCATGCACTCATTTTCATCAAACACCAATAGTACTCTAAATCTTTATCAGTTACTTGGATACAAATTATATAGATTGCAACTTTTCAAATTTAATTTTTTCCTTACTTGTGGTAATCTCGGACACAGTAGATTTTGTTCTCACTGTCTACTGTGAATGGCACTCCATCAAGACATTCATTACAAATCATACAACGGAAACAGCCTGGATGGTATGACTTCCCCAAAGCTTGCAAAATCTACAATAAGAGATTAAAAATTTACTCCTTTAAAAAAAAAAGCATGTAGAATTTTAAAATGCATTTCTAAAAATGCAAATAATTGAATAAATGTTAATCAGGATTGTATTCATATGTGAATAACAGGTCACATAATAAAACTGTGCAATATTGTCTAGTGTTTGGTAATCAATTGGGATATATGTTGGTGAAAACTCTCTGTTGGAGTTTTATCATATGGTAATATTCTTAGTATACCATACCACAGCAAACAGAAAGAAACCTCCATATTGGAGTTAACATATAAACCAATTGTGAATCTTACATAGCTCTTTATGTTACTGCACCTTAATTTATGACACACTGGATAACTTCTAAGAATAATTTCAAATCAACCATTCAAATCAGTTTTTAAGATAACTATAACCATACTATCAATGAATGCCAAGAAAAAAAATACAAAATGATGCAATATCTTTAAAGGTCAATACTTTTTTGCATTCATGTTGCTTTATTGGATGCTACTTGTGAGGATTAGAATCCATGAAGAAACAAACATCTAAATTTGACAAGAAACCAGTATGTTGGATCATACTTATTCGTTTTGGAAGGAACGTTTTGCTTGAGTTAAAAAGGTTCCCAAAATTAATGTACTAGCTACTTTAATTTGTTTAATTTATTTTAGATTCAAGAACTATTTTAAACTCAAGCTCAGAGACAATCAAGCCCCCCCCCCTTTTTTTTTTCTTTAAAACAACTTTTTCTTGTCTGTACCTTTTCCTGATATAATTGAGTAAATAACAAAAAATTCTGTTATATTGACTAGGAGTTTTCAAACAAGATACTAATTCTAGTAATACTGCTAAGGATTGGAGTGGCTAGGTGATTGTAAGGCAGTGACTCTCTCAGCCCATATGACTGCTTTGCTCAATGATCACAATCCTGGCACCTCTGGTTGCGGTCATCCGTCTGCTAATATGATTGTGCACATTACCAGAGTCCCAGATTAAAGAGAGCAGGGTGCCTCAGGAGGAGTTGGGGAGACCTGGGAGGCTCTACTCAGGTGCTGAAAATCCCTCCTGTCCAAATCCAAGCAGAATTTTTCAGCCCAACCGATGGGACACTCACACGTGGCCTTCCCCAGCCACCTGAGCCATCCCATGCTCCTTATCTCAGCTCACTGTCTTTCCATTCAGTTTCCTCTCATCTCTAGGAGCTGGCAGAAGGGTATGGCTTTGGCAGGATGGAATAACAGCTCAGATACTGAAAATATCAGATATTTCTCCATCCCACAAGTCCATGTTAATTTTTATCCAGGCATTGAAGGAAGTATGTTTGGTGCATACAGGAACAGACCTCAGATCTTTAGGATCTGAGCTCCATTTCTCCATTCCGTTGAAGGAGTTCAAATCCCCTCAGCAGGCAGCTCTTTCAGCCAAACCCTCTGAGACAAGAGGGAGTCTCTTTGGCAGGCCGCAGCAGCTTGCATTTTTTTTTTCTGCCTTCCCCATTGACTTTCTGGAGAAAATGGAAAATGAAAGAATGGAAATGGTCATTCTGTTTGCCAGCTGCTTGAAAATCTGTTGTAAGTATGAACTGGTTGCCCAGCAACCAGATCACAATCATGTGATTTCAGGGTGGGGTCAGTATGATGTTTTATTTAGGTCAGAAGCAGTTGTTAAGCAACTGGTTGTAAATTGAAACTTACTGGTTTATTGCATTTTCTCTTAGTTGCTTACATAAATATATTTAGAATGTTTTCCTGTTTGCTTTACTTCTTGAAAGAAATATATCTTGTAAGCTAAATTGCAACACTGAACTGTTAGTGCATTATTCTACACCAAGGGTAGTCAACCTTGGCTCTTTTATGACTCGTGGACTTCAACTCCCAGAATTCCTGAGCCAGCCATGCTGGCTCAGGAATTCTGGGAGTTGAAGTCCACGAGTCATAAAAGAGCCAAGGTTGACTACCCCTGTTCTACACTGTTCTTCTTTCTCCCACTGGTTTTTCCATATATAAAATGTCCCTTACCATATCCATGATCAAATGACCACATATATAGCATCGATCAGCTGACTGTTGAAAGCCTGAATACTGCAGTTCAAAAAGAAAAAAAAATCAGAATTGTTTATCACACCAACAAATGATCTCTCTGGCACCAGGAGTCTTAAAAGCCGTTCTCATTTATTTGCTTTTAAAAGCTTCCTAAATGCTAATATAGTGTGGCAACTAAGAAAATAAAATCTCCAGTTAAAATTTCAGCAAGATGGAAACATTATTGATCTCTTTTCCAAGCATTTGGGGTAAATAATGCTGAGTCACCTGAGTTGTTAAATAGAAACACATCAGCAAATATACATAAAACCCAAACATTTTAGTAGACATACAGGCCTCTGGTATAAAACCCAGTGATAAAAAAATGAAAAAACATCCTTGAAGATATCACAACGCAAACCCCACCCTTCCATATTTGCATCTTGATATCAGACACCCCTATGTAAATCACACAGTTTGCATCATAGCACATAGTGCCATTGGTAACAACAGAAGTAGAACTGAGACAAGAAAATACATGCCACATTTGGTGTTTCTGTAATCATCAATAAATGTCACAATACTACATTTACGAAAGATGTCATCATTACTGATTGCTTCATTTAATCTCATTTTTAGAGAGACTCTTAATCAGAGGAAGTTGATGAGAAGTGATTTGTTTAACTCTTTACATTACTTTTAAAATAAATCAAAAGCACACAGAGCTGCCAATGAAATATATCCAGTCCATAATGTTACTGTAACTGTTGAAATATATACAACTTAGTTCATAAGCAACATTTGTGCTGCCATTTTATGTTGAATAAGGATCCTTTCACCTCTGACAAAAATATTTTTTTTGACCACGGTCAGCATCATGGAAAAGACTGCAGCATACTTACCAGAAAGTCTTCTTCACAAAACACCTTCCCGTTAACAAAATAAAAGGCCTTTCCTCTCAATTTTCGGCCTAGAGGATAACAAAAAATATAAAATCAAGTGTTAAAAAATGAATAATGCATACCAAATGTAGAAATAAAGTAACAACTCATATGAATAGTTTATGTCATGGGAAAAAGATGATCTGAAAAATTATGCCAAGTACATGTAAAAGAGATGGATCCAAATGAGCTTTATCCTCACTCTGTTTTCATGACACTTTGTTTCAATATAATATGGGCCTCCAATTTATCTTATCTGTGCAAACTGGGTGCGTGCACAGTTACAGCTGCAACAAATAGAAAATAACTCTCCATTCTGTTTACCACATAACTAACCCCATGGTAATATTTAGAATGAAATTTAGATTCTGAATAAGAATAATATTATTTAATGCCAATCTGCAACCAAGATATTTATTGTTTATTTATTGTTTTATAACCCATATCCATTGCTCCTTCTTTTCACTTCCCCTATGTTTCTCCCCGTGCAAAACTTAAGTGAGTGTGGTTCCTTTAATGGAAAATAGTTTAGGACGGAGCATGATCAGCTTACCAAGACACAACTTGGTAGTTAATCAACAATCTAATATTTAAAAACACACAAAGCCAACAAGAGCAGAATATACACATACCACTCCCTTTACCAGCTGAAGGAAAGCTTTAACTTTAGCTATTCATACCTGAAGTTCTTGCTTCATGTAAAAGGGTACACCCAAAACAGGTCATCAGTATGAAATACAATATACAAACATCTGAGATTTTGAGCTATTTCCATTATTTGATATTTGGTATTGCCAAATCTTTTTTGTTTGTTTGTTAGACAAATAATAAGCTATGACATACCTGTGTTCTGTTCACAGTTGTTAGCATGAAATAAAAATGCAGTTGAAAATCAGTATCTCAAAAATGATACAGATGCACATCCAAGATTTTTACAGTTTAAATGTACTGTTTCGTCATCACTGTCTAAATACATACAGATAATATACAAACACATTATGCTTTTAGCAGAGAACTGAGATCTCAGCCTAACATATTATATCTTAAAGCTCTGGCTGATGGTGATCGATAACGAAAATACCTGGCACAAAGTGAGAAAGACTTTTTGGTGTTGGCACGCCTCTTTGTGTTAGGCACTCCCACAGAGAGGCTCAGCCGTAACCCATTTAACTATATTTTTGGCACTAGAAAAAAGTATCCAGGCTTTTAACCAGTTAAAGTTATTGGCATCAGGGCATAAGACCACTTCATCTCATTGTATGATAACCAAAAAGCAAGAATTAGAATGGAAAATGGAGTAATTAAATATATCAAAAATGAGAAAAGAGTTGCCAAGATTGTCTCTTGCCACCCAACTAATCATATATATAAGCAATATATATCATGAACAATCCTGGGCCAGAAGAAATAAAAATTAGAATTTAAATCGCTTGGAGACACAACAAAAATAAAAGATGGTTGGTTGGAATTAAGAAAGCCTAAGGTATCTCTTGCTGAAGTTAAAGGAGGGAATCAAAAGCCTGCTGTTCAATATTTTAAAAAAGAAAAAAAGAAAAAGAAAGATGTTAATAACAGATAATGCCAGCCCAATGCAATCACAGAAGAAGTCGGAGAGCCAGTTTGATCTAGTTATTAAGCCACCAGGCTAGAAAGCAGGAGACCATTAGTTCAAGTCCCACCCCAGCCATGAAAGCTAGGGTGACTTTGGGCCAATCAGTCTCTCTCAGCCCCACTCACCTCAAAGGATGGTTTTTGTAGAGAAAATAGGAGGAGGAAAGTGTATTGGGTGTGTTTGAGTTACTTGTAAAAATAATAAAGGCATGTTACTTTTTTCCCCTTTTTAAGCCCTTGTAATTCTTTAATTTGGGGTAAAGTTAGAGCGACTAGATGGAGCTGAATGTTTACTGGCCGGGTGCCCTTCCTGATGCCATGCAGAGTTCATAGCATATATTTAATTTTTTGTTATTCTAGGAGAGAAACATCTGTCGTTACCTAGGATTGACATCTCAACTTTCCAAATGGGAGGCGAACGCCTTCACCACTAGGCCACTAGACTGCTCTAAGGCAGAATACAAATAAATAAATAAATTGAAATTTTAAAAAAGTTGTAGTAGCAATAGATTTTATCTTTCTTGGCTCAAACTTCACAGATATGATAAGCATAAGCATGAGATAGATATCTGCTACTTCAGAGAAAGATTATGAAACCCCTATGATAAAATATTAGAATGAAGAGAGTTACACTCACAACAAAAAATATTTATTTTCAGGGCCATGTTTTTGCCAGTTGTAACACATGGCTGTAAAAGCTGTACCATCCAAAGCCAGTATAAATAAAAATTAATGCTTTTATATTATGAAGCCAATTCTTGAAGCATTGCAAAAAGGCAATACTTATATGAAGTAAGATGAAATTGCTTACTGGAATCATTAATAATGAACCTAAAGCTTTGACATTTATTTTATTATGCTTATTTTATATTTAATTTATTTAATCTTATATGCCACTGCCATTCAGCATGACTTTGAAAGAGTAGGACTCTTTCCTACAGCAATAATATCAACAGAGTGAAAACCATATAACACAAGAACATAAATAACATAACAAAAATGTTAGCAAAAAATTACCAAAATGATTATAGCTATCTAGGAACAATAGTCATCCAAACACAATTCAGGATGGGTGCATCAGGCTTACATCAGATTTTCCCTAGGAGCTTTCTTTAAAAAAAACCCAAGCTTTAATTACTCTTCTAATCCTTAAATAAGTGGGTTCTGCATCATCTACTTAATCCATCATCTAATTAATCCAAAGAAGGAGGGTTGCAATTGAGAAGATTTAGTTCTTTGGACCATAGGTGATCTAATGAGCCTGTCCTACTTGGTTTTATTGAATAGGCAGACATCACTAGAAGTAGACAGTTTCCTCAAATATCTCGGCTGTGAGTCATGAAGGGTTTTAAAACAAAAATCACTTTTATCTTCTCTTTTACATATTCCATGGCTTTAGAATTAATTCTGGAGTGAGAATGCATAAAATTATAACTCTATCCATGAAATGTGACTGTATAATAAAATAATTACTAGATTTTTCCTACTCTTTAAATGCAAGCAGAAGGGTGATTTATATGCTCAGGGTATTCTTTCATTCTACTTCTCTTTGCAGGAAAAAGAATATAAAATATCTTCAGTGATATTATGGAAATGCAGACATACTGGATGCTATGCAAAATTTATAACAAAATATCTTTTGTGGTAAAAAAAATCACTACCAAATGATTACAAAATGAAACATGTCTAGAAATCTGCTTGTTACTCTCAGTTCAATATTTAAAAGTACAAGTGGCTAATAAAAATAGAACCCACTGAAATGTCCTTTGAATAGATGCTGTACTCAGACAACTAGTGGAGGATGAAAGTTCTGAATAAATCCTTCACTTTGGAAGGCTGCCGTTATCGTGTGTGACGACCAAAGTCATTTAACAGTCATTTAATTCTGCATTGTGTTTGTTTTAAAAAACTGTGGTAATATGACTAGATCAGTGATGGCAAACCTTTTAGAGACCGAATGCCCAAACTGCAACCCAAAACCCACTTATGCATCGTTGGGTGCCGGGTAGGTGTGGCCGATTAGGTGGGTGTGGCCCATTGGGTGAGCGTGGCTGCGGTGGTAACAGCAGACTGGGTGGGACTAAAAAGTTCAATCAATTGCAACTTTAAAAGATCTTTTTTTCCCTGCGAGAAGTTGAAATTGATTGATTGAATCTTTTTTTTTTTGTACACGGCGGTGGAGGCCTAAAGCGAAAAGGTTTTATAAAACCCAGCTGAAGGCTTAGGACTGGTTTGCCACCACTGGACTAGATGATACAATTTATATTATTATATAGTTTACAGGAATGTGAACTGGGAAGGACAGGGAAGGACTATAGGTTAATTGCAGAATTCTGTAACCAGAAGGTCTCAAAAAGTTTACTCTACCTACACTTAAGTGATCTATTTAGAACCAGGATTTGGCTAGATGGATAATAACACAGAAAAAATTGATTACAAGGTTACTAGGGAACTGTGTTAAAAGTAACTGGCTTGTTAATGTTCATCCTCACTTGACACTGCAGGGTGCATAAAACATGTTATTGGACCGAAATAGCATGAGACGGCAATTTCAGGCCAGTATCCAATATTAGAAAACAGACTCATTTGTAATTTTCAAAAGTTTTTCAGTGACTGTAAGATCTTCACAAAGTTCCAAAACCAGTGTTTTATTTATACAACAATTACTATTAGCAGAAACAAGGAGGTGGCTTTTTTGCCATTAAAAATATAGGAAAGGAAAATTTGGAATACTGTACAACGCTTATTAACAAAATTACTAGTTATAAATTTATGTGGGAAGAAAAAAGCCAGAAAATATTGTAACTTCCGAACTTAAACTGGCATAGACTTACAGAATGAATTATTCAAGATAACCTTACTGTAAATTAAACCAGATTTAGATTCAATTTGTAGGATTTATTGGCATCTATCATTTATTTTGCTCACATATAAATTATGTATATATTAATTCTGATATAATACTGACCAAAATACATTTAAAACAGTAAATCAAAACAAGTTGAATAAGACAAAAAATATTTTTATCAATCTGTCTATAAGATTATGCAAACTGCATTCTCTATATCAGTGGTTCTCAACCTGTGGGTCGGGACCCCATTTGGGGTTGATCGACCATTTCATGGGGGTCGCCAAGCAAGGCTGTCCACCATTTTTTTGTCCACCATTTTTTCCCCTTTTCCGGCGGGTGCCTTACCTCCCTTGGGCTGGGCCAGCTGGTGGTCGGCCTGCTCCGTCTCTGCCGCTTGCCAGCTACGCCTCGGCCGGCGCAGGGGGCGGAACCACGCATGTGCGGCACTTCCGGGCAGGGAAAGTCCTCGACTTACGACCGGTTGGGTAGTCCTTGACTTACGACCGGTTTAATCCTCGACTTACGACCGGTTGGGGTCGCGGCATTAAAAAGGTTGAGAACCACTGC